GAAGCTCTTCTAATCTTTTAAGACGAATGCGCGCGGCGCTAAGGCTCGAGCCACTTGTCGGAAACGGCCCGCCCTCCATCTGTGAATCTTTTGCTAATCTTCAGCTCAGGGGTCATACATGGCGAGGAAGTCTCAGGCGAAAGGACCTGGCCGCCCTACCGATACGCCTCGGGGTGCGACATGGAGGAGTTGTTTATGAGGAAAATGGACGGAAGCGCAGGAGGAGGAGGAGGATTAGGAGCAGGAGGAGGAGGAAGAGGAGGAGGAGGAGGAACAGGAGGACGAGGAGGACGGATGAGGAGACAGAGAAGGAGGAGGAGGAGGAGGAGGAGGAGGAGAAGGAGGAGGAGGAGGCGGAGGAAGAGGAGGAGGAGGAGAGGAGGATGAGAAGGCGGAATAGGAGGAGGGAGGAGGAGGAGGAGGAGGAGGAGGAGGAGGAGGAGGAGGAGGAGGATTGGCTCAAGGAGGAGGGCAGGGGGCGGGGGGGGGGTTGGCTGGGCCGCATCTTCTCTAGGATAGCGTTTTCTGTGTTTGCATGGCCGCTTGGCACTAGTGCTGCACTGCTGCCGGGGGGGGGGGGGGGGGAGGGGGCGGGGGGAGGCGGCGCTGGTCGGCCTGAGCCTACGGGACACTGGTGCGCAACGCCGCTCGAGTGGCAGGCGGAGCAGAACTTGTGCAGATTCGCAGCGAACGCGCAGGGCTCCTCGTGAGAAGCCCTCGTGGCACAGGCAAGGCTTCGAGCTCCTTGGGGGCCACTTTGGGCTCGGGAGGGGTTTTCTGTCTTCGGGCCGCTTCTCAGGTCCGGGTCGGGGACCCTGTCCGTGGCCGGGGCCCGCCGTGGTCACGGAAGCCGCCTCGTTCCCCCTTCGGCCTCCCCATGTGGCGGCGCGGTGGCCAGCTCTGCGGATTCCTCAGGAGCTCGTTGGGGTTGCCCTAGATATATCCTTGGGGTTCCAGGCCTCGCCTCGAGCACCCTCCCCCGGTGTCGCCACAGCTGCGGGCGTCGCCGCCGCCGGCGGAGGCGCGCTCGCGTACGGCCTGGCCAGGCACCAGGGCTGGAGGCGGCGAGGGCTCTGGACCACGCTTGGGGCAACGACCTCCTGCTTCGCAGGCCCTCTCCCCGGGGCTTCGAAGCGCTCAGCGTTCGTCTGCGCCTTCCCTGCCGCCCCCCTCGCAACATCTCCCCCCCTGCTCGTCCACCTCCTGGTCCTCTCGCCGCACATGCTCTCCCCGCAGGCCTCCTGCGGAGTGTTCCTCGTCCCACCCACATGCCGGGATGTCTGCCCCGATAGTTGCCTTTCTTCCTCTCCGTTCCGCTCGAACTCGTCCCTCTCCAGTCGTCGCCGTTGTCTTGGTCGTCGTCGTCGTCGTCGTCGTCGTCGGACGCACCCACCTGCCATCTCCATGGCATGCCTTGGCTCCTCCGAATTGTATCCTTCCCACATGCTTCTCGTTGATCTCATGGCAAGCACCAGCATCCGTGGCGGTGGTGCCTGCCGATGTCCTATGTGCGTTCAGATCCGTACGCTGTTGTGACATTGTACCTCTTGCGCTAGAATCCTAGCGCGGGAGAAATACGCATGGCTGCAGTATACTTCCAATTGTTGACGTTCCGCGTATCCCACCAGCCCATGCAGAAACGATGCCCAGGGGAGTTGAGAGGATCAGGGAAGCGGGGGAGCATGCAGAAGAACAAAGGGCGGGGGAAGCCGTCATATACAACAATAGAAAGAGGACGGAGGAGGGATCGTCGTCGTTGGAGGAGGAGGAGGGCGAGGAGGGCGAGGAGGAGGAGGAGGACGTGGAGAAGGACGAGAAGGAGGAGGTGAGGGAGGGGGAGGAGGAAGGAGGGAAGAGGAGGAATAGGCGGATGAGGATGAGGAGGAACAGGCGGAGGAGGAGAAGCAGGAGGAGGATGAGGAGGAAAAGGGCGAGCAGAAGAGCCGGAAGCCTCTTGAATGCGATGCCTCTCGGAGTCTCCTCGGATGTCTCTGGGACGCTGTTTGGAGGCCTCTTGGGCCGTCTGGGGGTCCTCTTAGCGGGCCCATGGGCGTCTCTGAGCGTCTTGGGTGCCTCGGGGATTTCCTAGGGGCCTCTTGGGGGTCTCTCGGGAGCCTCTTGGGGACCTCTGAGGCGCCTCTTGGGACCTCCTTGGCGCCTCTTGGGGCGCTCCGGGGGCGCTCCTGGACCCCTTTTGGAGCGCTCTTGGGGCGCGCTTGGGCGCTCTTGGGGCTGTATTGGGGCTATCTTGGGCCCCTCTGGGGGCCCACTTGGAAACAAAACAGCGAGAAAGGAACACACATTGAGCTGCCTCAGGTTTTGGAAGGATGTTGGTCGCTTCGGGGCCTCCACGGGGAACTCATTGGTCACTTGGAGCCGTTTTGGAGCGTTCTTGGGGCCTCTTGGAGCATCTTGGGAGCCATCTTGAGGCATTTTGGGTTATCTTCAGCCATCTTGGAGGTCATCTTGGGCTCTCCGAGGCCCTCTTGGAGCCGTCTTGGGCCATCTTGGACGCTCCAACTACCCGCGGCGTCCAGGTTCAGGGGAGGGGGTAGGGGGATGGGTAAACCCATCCCCGATGGGGAAGAAGGGGTTTGGAAGAGAAGCCGCCCTAGACCACCTACGCGCAGAGGGCTGGTGTGATTACTTACTGTGATCGGATCTCGTGATGTACCATGCTATCCGCATCTGCCGCGTTTTGTCCCACTATTGTTTGTGTCGCGTGGTTTCTTCATGGTCGAGGCGGGCGTGTTGATTGGGATTGGTGTGTGCGCATTGCATCGCGCATCGTCTTTGATGTGTTGACGTTTCGCATGCGTAAGCGAACTCGATGCTAGTTGATGAGGGAAGTGTAGGTACATACGTGTGGTATAGATGGGGAGGCAGCCGTCAAACCGAAGCTCGGGATCAGCCTTGGCAGACCCAGCTGTCAGCCATCAAGGCCGTTGCGGATCGTTCGATCTGGCTGTCTTTGGGCGACTTCTTGGGGTCGTTTTTTGGCGCTGTCGAGGCCATCTGGGAGGCCTCGGGGGCTCTTCTGCGCCCCTCCTGGGGTCGTTGGAAGCCCTCTTGGGGCTGTCTTGGAGGATTTTTCTTTCCCCCAAAGCAATTCAAACCAGTTCTGAGCAAAGCAAAGGAGTGCAATGCCAAGCGTTGCCGAGCGTTGATTGGCATTGATTTGCATTGCTTGGCGTTGCATTTGATTGATTTGCTTTGCTTGTCGTTGCTTGGCACTGCGTGGCATTGCTTAGTTGTTCATTGGTGTTGCTTGGTATTGTTTGGAATCGTGGCTTTGCATTGCTTTGCATTGCTTTGCGTTGCTAGGCATTACTTTGCATTGCTTGGTATTGCTTGGCGTTGCTTGGCGTTGCTTGGCTTATCTTGGCTTCTGTTGGCGTTGCTTGGCATTGGTTTGCGCTGCTCAGCGCTGCTTCCCACTGCCCGGAATCATGGCGTGGCATTGTTTGGTATCGTGGCTTGGCACTGCCTGGTATGGCGTTGGACCGTCTGGCGCTGCTCCGCGTTGCTTTGGCGTTGCCTGGCGCTGCTCGGCACTGCTTGCGCCCAGAGCCACCCCGAGCCACGCCGGGGGCCGCCTCTGACGGCGGGCCCCGCACCCTCGGGGAGCTCCGAGCAGCCTCGGGGAGCGCGGGGGGCCTCCTCCGACGCAGCTCCGCCGGGGCTCCTCTCACAAGTCGGCGGCGAGCGAGGGGGGGAAGTGAGAAGGAGAAGGCCGTCTCAGAAGGCGACGGGACTTCTCAGAAGCCCTCGCGCCTTCTGAGAAGTTTTGGTTGTCTTCGGGGAAGGCTCAGAGAACTTCTCAGAAGGCCGGGGGACTTCCGAGCCTTCTGGGAAGGCCTTCTCCTTCTCACTTCTCCCCCTCGCTCGCCGCCGACATGAGGGGGACAAAAAATGACAGAAGCATAAAACAACTCGGTGGTCCGCGCGGATTCCTCGCATCGGCGCTGGGGCCCCCTGGCGGCGCCTCTGGCGCCGCCCCTGGGGCGCTCCGCGCGCCAGGGAAGGAGATCCCGCGCCGATCCGAGAAATCCGCGCAGACCTCCGATTTTCTTGTTGTGAACGTCATTGCTTGCTCCCCTGAAGAGGTAACAACCCAGAGGCAAAGCCTACTTGGGGAAACAGGAGGCGGTCCCCAGCGCCTGGCTTGGGGTCTTCGTCCTTGCTCCCGGTCCCCGGTCCCAGGCCCCTGCTGGCGCCTCGGTCCCCGGCCCCTGGTTCGTGGTCCTACGCTCCCGGTCCCTGGCCCACGGATGTTGTCCGTCCTTCACATCCGACGTCGCGGAAAAAATACGATATCGCAAAAAATCGCGACCAGAGACCAGGACCCCATCTTTCTGTGTCATTTGTCCGAGACGGATCGATCTGTGAGGGTCCCGGGGCCCGGAATCAGGCGAAAACGCCCGTGGTGAAAAAAATGCAGCGCCAAGATCCGAGATGTGGTCCTTCGTTCACCGTTCAACGCCCTCCCTTCCTCGGTCCGCGGTCCTTGCTCCCTGGTCCCCGGTCTCAGTCCAAGCCTAGATCCCCCCTCCGGGCGGGCCCTCGGATGGGCGTCGGGGGGCCGCATCCGATGGGGCCTCGGATGGGCCCTCGGATGGGCCCTCTGATGGGCCCTCGGATGGGCCCTGGGATGGGCCTCGGATGGGCAGCAGCGGGGAGGCCTCGTTTTGGATAGAGCCTCAAGCGAGAAGCACACGAGGCTCAATTCAAAATGTGCTCGAGACCCGATCCACAGCAAGCCGCATTGTGAAGGCCTTGCGGCCGGTGCCGCCGACCCAGAAGGACGACGACGCAGACGACGACGACGACGACGACGACGACCGCGACGACGACCACGGCGACCACGACAACGACGAGCTGAGGACCCTGCCACAGGCTCGGGACATGGGGCGGGCGGTGGAGGGAGGAGGAGGATCAGGAGGGAAAGAAACACACTGACACAATTAATCGGCGATTCCCCAGAAAATATGGTAAAATATGGAAAGTGGGGGGGAAGACAAAAACCCAGAACATATAGGAAGATGTGGGGAATATTGTTATTTGTGTGTATTTATTTGTGTGTCCCAGGGCCCCTTCAGGAGGAGGCGGAGCAGGATCGAGGAGCAGGCCTCCTTGCCTTGTCGCTCGAGGCTCGACCCAAGACGGCCGCGGGGACGCCCCGTGCCGTCCCACAAGGGGGCCAGCGTGCCCGGCCGCGGGGGAGCGGGAGGGTGGGTCCGTGGGAGCCGGGAGCCGGGAGGCGGGTCAGGGGGAAGAACGGAGCGCCCCGCAGAGCTCGGCATCGCTCGGGCGTGTGCATTTTTTCTTCGGCGAGGGCCATCGAGGAGCATCCTTGCTCATTTGGCGAAAAACCCACGCACGAAACCGAACAAAGCCTAGGGAATGGACGTCCGAGCGATGCCCAGGAGGCGCCGTGGAGGTCGGGAGCTCCCGGACCGCTTCGTCCCACTCGGCCTGCCTCGAGGGCCTCCCCTCAGATCTTTAGGGGGCCACTGGCGAACCCTGCCCCTGCCCCCCACGATTTCTGAGGGGGAGGGTGGGGTTCACTTCGCTGCCTGCTTCGGGGGCCTCCCCTCGGATCTTTAGGGGGTCACTGGCAAACCCTACCCCTGCCCCCCACGATGTCTGAGGGTGAGGGTAGGGTTCGCCAGTGACCCCCTAATCTTGCCGCTGCAGTTTTTCATAAGTTGCGTTTTCGCCTGGTTTCGGTCCCCGTGACCCTTGCAGATCGATCCGGCTCGAAAAGTGGCACAGCAAGATGGAGTTCAGTGCTCTGGTCGCGATTTTTGCGATGTTGCGGCGGCTAAGAGTAGGGGGGAGTGGATATCATGGCGGGGACCACGAAATCTCCCCAGATTTCATGGCGCCTCCCCTTCTGTCAATAATTACGTCCTGGGCCCCCCCCTGGGCTGCGCACATGCCGCCTGTCATGATGTGCGCCCCCCCCTCTGAGACGCCTCCCCCTTGGACAGTTCCGAAGTTGCCTGCTTCGAAGACCTCCTCCTGTCGCTGTCGCTGACTGCATTCGGGTCCAGGGTCGACGCTGCCTCCCCCCACCCAGCGGGCATTGCCGCCGGGCGGTGGGTTGATCAACTCCCCAGGGGCGCTCTGCCACCAGGGAGGATGGGCAGAAAGGGCCAAAAGCGAATCCTCATCCTCGTCATCCTGCTGCTCAGGATCACCATCCCTGAGGGAGAACGGAGGATAATGATGAGGCAGAACGAGGAAGATGATGAGGGTGGGGAAAGGTAGCCGGTGGGGAGTCAGCTGAGTTTCAGTTTTGAACGATTTGGTGCCACTCGCTCTGCCAGGGCTAGAACAGTCAGGGGAGGGAGGGAAGCGAGTGGTGGCTGGTGGCGTGGCTGCCAGCGGTGGTGTTCTTGCTGGTGAACCGCGCTTGGTGGACAGCGGTGGTGTTCGCGTTGTGACAGAACAATACTCGTGGCATACGCCACCCTTCATGTTGGCCGCCTTGTAGGGCAAGGTCTAACAGAACACGGCGTTGGCAGGCCTGGCGTTGGACATTGCTCTCGTCGAGGGTCTCGGTGCGCTCGCTGCCTCCTCCACTACCGATATGTGGACCATCATATCCCCCCCACCCCTCCGACCCTGAAATGCCCTCAGATTGTATGGAGTCTCACCTCAGGCTGTTGCACGAAAGCTGCGCCCCCCCCCCCCGGGGGGCGTGTGCTCCCGTGCCGCGGGGGCATGGCTGGCTTCTCCGGGGAAGGAGGGGGAGGGGGAGGGAGAAGTGAAGAGGTTCTCGAGGTCATGAGGGACTGTATTCCCGGGGGGGGTGTTGGACAGACTCTTCGGCCCGTGCGCCTGAGCGTCTGGATGGCCTTCAGGCCATCCCGGTGGGGCCCTCGGAGGAGGAAGCTGGCCTCCCGAAAGAAATTCGCGATGCAGACCTCTGTGAACTTGCCCTCCTCCACACCTCGCCGACGGACCGCTGCACGAGCGAGCGCTTAGAGTACACGAGGTCGAACTTATGGTCGGTGCTGGAGGTGCTGTC